TGAAATTTAACGAGAGAGAATTTGTGTCTTGAATTTGAAACTGACCTATGGATATCTTCATTTCAACAAGAATTTTCGATATATAAATTCGAAAGAAATATTAATAAATGTCAAAATTACACCATATGTGTTTATTGATTTTCAATTTGTCAATTTATTTTGATAATTTTTAAGGGAATTTTATTCGAAGCTCGATTCATTCTTCATTTTAATATTTATTGCGTTTTGTCATTTAATATAAAATAAAACGATCGTAGGAAATTAATTGTAAAGTTTCAGATAATTAAATATCAATAAATTGCCACATACTTAAAAAAATTATGAAACTAAAGTTAAAATAAATTGAGAAGCTAATATTCTTCGATTTCTTTGATTTGTGACGGAGAAAGAATCATTTGTATGTGTAAGCATAAATCGCACATATATGCTTTAATAATTCTATTTAATCTTATTTTAATAACATTCTCGGATCTTACTTTAACAAAATTAAATAAAAAATGCTGTGAATATTAAAAAACTGTTCGAAACATTGAATAAAAGATACTATAAATATTAACATTGTTCATTATATTCTTTCCCCGCATAAATCGCTAATTTAATAAAAGAAATTTTAGCTTTTATATGTCTCGATTTTTTTCCGCGAATATAAATTTTGCGTCAGAATCTAATAATTAACGATGCGTGAATGTAACTTCGCAAATATTGGAGTAACATTTACGCATGAAAGCACCACGGCAGCATTTCGACACGTTTTGAGAGCCGCGTACACGGATATTCATGCAGGTATTCAACTTGAAGCAGAAACCGATTTCGGTAAATGCATATTGAAAACGAAGCACGGATGGATCGATTCGATCGATACAATCAAGTTGTCGGCGAGAACTGCTGTGTCTGCACTATCTCAACCACATTTATATTCCATGCGATTAGCCTTCTATCGAATTTTTCGCTGTAAGCGTAGTCGCTTTAAAATATCGACGTTTGGAAGTTTCTCTCAGCATGAACAGCTTTGGCGAACACTGCGAGTTCAAATACAGTCAAAATATATAAATTGCAGTAAAATATTGCATTTAAGATACTCAATAAAATATCTCCCGCGATTTAAATTTTACTCGGATCTACACCGACAGATAACTACCGTGAAAGCTTTCACGCAAAGAGGCAACTTTCATCAATGCGAAACATTTAATGGACAATTTATTGCAATATTTAAATTTAATCACAAAGTATTTTATACTTTTATATGATAATTAAATATTAAAAACTCGATTGTTAAAAATATTTTTAAGTATTTTATGTCTTTTTTTACGCAAGCGCGAAGAGACACTAAAAATAAAATAACATAGAGATATACTCATTTTTTATATTGAATATTATGTATTTTATATAATACTTTCAGTTATTTCTAATTTATTATTATGTTCCACAGAGCTTCCTAATTAATATATATATATATAATTAATTACTCTTACTATATACTTTAAATAAAAATTATCCAATTGTATAGAGTGCTTTGTGCTTATTTCATATAGTAAATATATAAAATAAGCACAAAGTAATTTCAGATATTAAACTATCATATGAACCAAATTATTGGTACGTACCACCTTTCATAATTAAACAAGTGTTTTTATTTTCATCATAACCGAATCAGTATTAGCAATGATGAATAATACTTCATCGTTATTTATGCAATAAATAAATATATTTTGTCACATCTACTTAAAATTTTCTGTTACCAAATATTCAGTTAATTGTAGCTTTAACCTTTAGTACTTGACCGAATGTGCACCAAAACGTTTATCCAATGCCAACTATTTTCGGTGTCTCACAAATAATGTCTATTATATCCGAAATAGCGGGGTAAAGCGAAAGGACTTGTGACGATTGTGTGTGGGAGACTGTGTATTTCAAATTTGCACCGAGACGACACGTAGGAAGTTAAATCACGTCTGCGATTTAACGACGGCATTAGATTCTGCGTTTTCGAGCGTGAAAACTAAATGTTTATACGACGCCGTGCTATGCTGCCGAGATAGGGAATGGCGGTCGTCTTCCACGACGTACGTGTAATATATTCGGCAGAAATTGCGATTGTCCGGTCGGCGCCCTCCGAAAGCGTGAAACGCGTGTGCGAGTGCGTAATACGCGCGCACGCTCACGGATACAGCCGGGAGCGTGTTCTCCGTTTGTATAATTACGAGTTACGAGCGTGCTAATGTTGAATCTCGCAAGAATCGTGGGAGGAAATCGTGTTCTCGCAGCGGTGCGCGTACTTTGTAATAGGGTCGTTCGAAAAAAAAAGGATGTAAAAGACGTCTCTTTTTTATCTCTCGTATCAAGTTCAGCTAACGCGAACGTCAAGTACAAACAGCGATATCGTCGCGTGTGTATGTGCATTAAGGTGGCCCCTGCGTAAACCGACCAAAAGTAGAGAAAAATTGGAATTTAAGTAGGTTGTTGTAGTTGTAAATTTTATCTGTCGGTGCGCGAAATTTCGGACCCGGTCTCGCTGATGAAATAAAATAAAGAAAAAAATTGTTAAAGCTGTATTTTTTAACATCCCAATAAACACCAAGTAACAGTTACATAACATCAATATTATAACTTTCTCCTACCGACCTTTCACAACAATTGACGTCTTTTTAAAATATTTTATATCTACTCCATACGTGTTACCGTGCAGAGTGATTCGTTCCTCCATGTATTCTTATACTATTACCAATGTTACCCATTTTTTGCTGTCACATCTAATGGGTTAAGAATTTTTTAATACTTTATAAGGACCAGTATTACTGGTCGAAACGTTGTATGTTCTAAACGAAATATATTGTGCCAGTTAATTGTCGACGTTATCCTTATTATTTGTTATAACTTTCTACTCAACAAGACAATGTAATGTAACACCCGCGTTATATTACATTTCCATTGTTAAGTAGGAAATTATAATATTATGTAACTACAGGGTTGGGAAAGTTACTTTATAAAAGTAACTAGTTACAGTTACAGTTTCTTCGCTAACAATGTAACTAGTTACAGTTACAAGTTACCAATTCTGAAAAGTAACGCGTTACAGTTACAGTTACTCGAAAAGTAACGAATCGTTGCTTTGCAGTTACTCCCTTGCAATAGAAATAAAAATATCGAATCTGCATCTGAATTGTAAAGCGGCAATAAAGGCGTTTATGCGCAAATGCAAGGCCTAATGCGATCGGTGGAGGTTGAAAAAATATATAAAGTAACTATTAATGTAACTATTAAATTAGTTACTAGTTATCGAAAAAATGTAACTGAGTTAAGTTACAGTTACAGATGTAGAGAAAGTAACGAAGTTAAGTTAGAGTTACCAAAAAGAAGTAACTGTAACTGTAACTTTGTTACAAGTAACGAGTTACTTCCCAACCCTGTGTAACTATTAGTTGGTGCTCACTGGGATAGAGTTTATGGACCGATCGCTCGCAGAAGCACTTTGAGGGTTGATATAGTTTCATAGAAAAAGTAGATCTTAACAAAGAACGAGATGAACATAATAAATGTCACAAGGATTCAACCCATGTCTTTTAAACGTGCGTGTTGTATGGTAAATATTTAGGTATACGAGGTCACCAACCGCTGCGAGCAAATACTTATTAGTAAAGTCGAAAGATACAATGTTTTAAGGAAATTTGACAGTTCTTTGAGACTTGACGATATCACGTACTTTTGAATATGTTTTTAAATGTCCACGTATAATCAAGCGTATCAATGCATTTGATCAATAATGCATTCAGTGGCATTTTTTTTATGGAAAAAAGTCATATGAATTTATAAAAATCAAAGGGGCCCCGCCAAAGCACCCATACTAACCGCTCCTTCGTGCAGGAGCCACATTAATTATTTCGTCAAACTAATGAAACGTATTTCAAAGGGAAACGCGAGTGTTTCGTTTACTTTTGTCATCGTGTATGCGCACTACCGTGTGGCTTCCACGAGAATTCGCGCGCCAAGTAGTTTGTACTTAGATTCATTTTGCTCCTTTCTGCAACTTTAACGTCAAATTTCTCCGAGTCGTGACGCAACGGGGCATTTGGAAGGCCGGAATGTCGAGCATAAAAAGAACGGCACAGAAAATGATTGTCTTCTCTCGTTTGAAAGGGAGTTATTTTTTGTTCAACTGCACAACTCGATAAATCTCAGAGTTCTACACGGCATACGTAGCCTTGTGATTTACGCAGTCAAGAAACTCTAAGTTATTGTCAAGTATAAAAGGATAAAAAAGGGGTTTGATGCCAGCGCTGTTATTACGCGGCGCAGCAAACAGAAAAGTTAATTGCTCACAGCAAAGGAGCTCCCGGGCGGAATTATAAAACGTCTACTTCCTCGAATATTGCGTGTTATTCATCAGAGGAGAGGGAACGGAGACGGTGCGATTTCTTCGCACCGAAAGAAAGGCGTCAAATTGAAAGGCCAATCTTGAAAAAAAAAAGTGTAAGCGAGCGTGCAATTATGCACAATTGGTTGATTTGGGCCAATCAATTCTTATTCGCGACGCTCAATTGCGAGATGAATCGATGTATCGCACGGAGAAAAAGTTCACCCCCGCCCCCCCCCCATGTCGGATAATTACGCAGGAAACTAAATTTAATGGTAGCGAATATTAATAAACAAAATTCGATGAAATTCTATATTAAAGGGGTGACGAAAGTGGCGTTCGCGTGCGCGCGCGCCGTATCGGCTTACGATTAATTAAAACGTAAGATTTTCTTAGTTGGGATAACTGAATTGCATTAATCTAATTAAAGTTATAGCGCGTTGTAACTTGCTCAATTAGCGCGACTTACTGCTTTATGAAAGTCGCCCCCTCCGTTCGTTCGCGATTCCGCATTCATTCAATAATTCTATAAGTAGTTTAATAATTTTTAGTATGTGTGACAACTTTAATAATGCAAAACGCAATGCGATTTTAACATCGACAAAATAATGCGGTGTTTCAAAAAGGACCACCTAAAGCTGGGCGTCGTTTATATTTATTTGACCGTACAGATTAACAAATGGCAGTAATAATGTATCTTATTATTTACTGTTCATACAACAATTAATTAGCTCGGCATATCACACCAGATAAGAGTCTAACAATATGGATTCTATTCACGCCTACTCTGCATTTAGATCAAAATGTGATCGATTCCGCGTTTTGTTTTTCTAGTAAAAAGATCGTATTCTTCAATATTTCTCACGTTACCAACAAAATCTGAGTCTAGCATTAGAAAAACGCATTGCAAAGACTGCCTCGCGTTTCAAGAGTCTCTGTAAAAGATTAGTAGTCGTTTCAGCGCTACAGTATACGTAAGTATAGTATTTAAAAATAAATTTGGCTGGTTAGCTCCAGTAGTTTTATACGCAAAGTTATAGGCAGTGTCAAATCTGCCGTCAGTTCTACGTTCTCCGTCGCCTAGCGTAAAGGTATCAGACGGCAGTATCGTTTATGATTCATAGGATATGCGTGTATCGTTCTCGACCAGACTTCTAGATCGTATTCGTATTGTCGTACCACGGCGGCATCCATCTGGATGGTGTTTTAGGCCTTCCTCGAGAGACCGGTACCGGGACATCGAGGCTACTATCGGTGCGTTTTCTGCGATCGCTACTTCTACCTGATATGTTCTTCGAGGCGCTATCTAAAATTACGAATGGTTGATCGTTAACGCGACGGTCCTGCCTACTTCTGCCAAAGCTGGGAGAATACGGCCTGGCGACTTCGTCCCGAGTCACACGGTCGGCCGAAGGGCTGCGTACTCTTGCTGCGGAAGACTGTCCGAGTCGGCCGAATCCTCGCCGTTCGTTGTCGACATCGTAGACGTGCAGGCGATACGTTGGACTGGGTGATCGCGTTCTCGTAACAATCGTGCGATCCGCCGGTTCCACCTGCGTCGGTCTCGGCGCCGCCGCGGCGTGAGACAGTCTGGAGCTTCTGGAAATCGCGATTGCGAAAAGTTCTTACTGTAAAAAGTAAAGAGGCGCGGAAAGCCTTCGAGTTTAACGGGATATCAAGTCCTCGGGGATTTCAAACCTTTTTGTGTCTCGTTTTTCTTCCCGCGTTCTTCAGATAAACGTCAACGTACCTTCTACTAGCGGGCGGCGGTTTCCCGGTGACGTTCTCCTCGTGGATCCGCGTGTCCAACACGCAGAAAGCGTCCTGTCCCTGCGCGGCGACCGTTTTGTCGACCTGGCCGCCACTGTTCAACCAGTAGTATTCTTTCCTGGTACCTGGACTACGGTCACACCTGCCGTGAGTAGTTCTGGGTTCATCGCAACCTTGACGATCGTATCTCGCGCAATAAACGTTCCTGTATTCCGGTTGAAGGTCGAGATTGCCCTCCAACCGCAGACTGGCCGGCATCTTCAGTGTCTCGACCCTCGGTACGTATCCATAGGGAACGTACTGGGACCTCACCTCGCTAATAGGCTCGTACTCAAACGTACGACATTCCTGATGAATCGGCTTACCGAAGCACGCGCTGCTACGGCCGGAAGAGGACAGCCCCGTCGGTCGCATTATCGCCGGTGGTTTACGATAGATAGGGCGATCTCGGGGATACTCGAGATACTTGGACTGATACTCTGGATCCTGGTCGATCTTTGTGGAAAACTTGGAGCGCGATGGCGAGGTCACCTTCGAGCCGTCGGCGCGACCTATCTGGACATCTGGCTTCGCGATCTTCGGCCGTTCACGTGGAAAGTCCTAAAACATAATTGTACTCTACGTGATCCTACACAGTTTTAGATTTTTTTAATGCAAATATTATTTTAATATAAAGGAAAGTTTCCTATTATGAGACAGTCTCCTAATATGAGACAGCGGGGTTTCTGCTGAATTAATAGGCATCATCTGTTGGTGCCGCCGCGTGAATCTATTGCCCTTGGAGTGAAATCTGTTTAGTGGAAAATTGATCGTTAGATCGTATGAACGTTGCGAAAAAAGATTTGCCATTGAATTTGGACCTGGAATTTGAAAACCTACTATCTCGCATTGAAATCCTATCTCATGTAGGAGAACTTTCCTCTAATTGTTTGTGGATTTTAATCGATAAATTTTCTCCTTCCGACTCGGTAAGTACCTTATATGCATCGCGATATTCGGGAATTTCAAGCGGCCGACCGTTTAGATCCTCCAACTTTGACACTAACATTTTCATCTCCTCGTCTTTCCTCCGCTCCTCCTCTTGACTTCTCATCCATCTGTCTTCTTCGCTATCGTCTTTAGCCCGTTCAGTCATTTCTTGTGCCTGTTTAACGTAAGGATGAACCAAGTTTTCGGTGCTCTCTGTGTTTTGGTAAAAGTCTCCGCCGGCTTTTAAATGCATTTGAGGTTTCTGTGGCTGCGGTTTATCTGTAATATGCACTCCAAAGAAAAGGGAACGACAGAGAAAGGGAATGGCTCTAAAAAGAGCAGCTATAATATTTCGCCAAATACATTTTAAACAGTAACTTTAATATCACTCTCCTCGACTCGTAGCCACGAGAGTCTTTATCTTATTGAAATATCTCTTTCACGTCTTTATGGATATCGTTATTTCATGTCATTTGATGCACTACTTTTCTTTTAACCCAACGCTTATTACCTTTCACGCTGTAGTCTTTAAACACATCGGTATATTCTGGCACGAAGTAGGTGTCTCCCTCGAGCTTCAAGTTCGTGCCTTGCCTCAACAATTCCGGTCTTCGCACTCCCACGAACGGGACGTACTTGTCCTGATTTTCCGTCGCCGTCTCCAGCTCACCCTCCATCTTCAGGTGAGTGGGTACACGCATGAGTTCCGGTCGGCTAACGTTGAGCCACTCGATAAATTTCTCGCATTTCTCCGTCATAGTATCCAAATCGCCTTCCATCTTCAAGGACGTAGGTCGACGTATAAGCTCGGCGCGATGCTGGCCCTCATAAGGCCTATACGCAGAATATGTTTCCGTATCGGTATAAAAATCACCACCGCACTTCAAGCTGGTACCCCTTTGCGCAATGCAATAACAATGGATTGTTAAATTAATAGCGAGCACACGATTAAAACGCGCCGATTATAACGATTTGAAATCATTCTCATTTTTCCCCGGCAAACATGATGACGTCAGGTGACGCCTTAATAACTTTTCTTCGATTTCTGACGTCATTAATAACGCCATTAAAGTCTTTAGACGTTATTATGTTTGCTAGGCTAAATTGCTTCAATTTCTTTAACAATGACATCCGATTTCTATCGATTAACTACTTCAACAATTTATCGCCCAATGCAAAATTAAATTTCGAGATGTTTATTTAAACAGGATTGCTTTCGCACGGTAAAGAATTTAATTATTTACTTTGATTGACGTATCAATGAAAAGTAACTTATTTCGTAGCCATTTATCACAAAATGTGATACTTTGAAATGCATGTCCGTATTTTATTAAATGTCACAGAGACCCGACGAAGAGTACAAAAAAGAAGTAAAGGCCGACTCCGTTGCCAATTTAGTTGCATGACAGTCAGATTTATGCTTCTTCGATTTGCGTAAACTCGCGTGTTTCGCAACAGTTCAATACTGGTTTACCGATTTATGACGGGGAAGAAGTCTTCGTGAAATTAACTAAACGGATGGCCAAACTAGGAATATTGGATATCAATTTACTAATGTAAGATCATTTTATAACGTTGTCTTTTTTCAAACTTTACATCTATGTTTTACTGAAAATTATACTTTCCTAATATATTATTTGTTACTAATATATTACTTTATTATTTCCCACTTATTATTTGTAAAAATATATATATATTTGCCCGCGCGATATTTATATCAGTAACTATTAAAGATTTACCTTCTGTAGGAAGAACGTCTGAACGAACTTTCTAATTGTGGAACTCCCGCCTCCATTACTTTGTCTCCCTGGACCACTTGAGCGGAATCGCTCTCCTCTTTTCCAGGTGGATCCTCAATCTCAGCCTCGCGTTCTTTAAAATCCATGCAATACGAAGATTCCGCATTTTTGGGAGTTCCATCTACGTGTATATAATCTTCAGGCCAGAAATTTTCCTATCACACAAGTATATATTTACATATAAATTAGTATACGATCTTCTTGAATATAGAAAGTCAAAACGTGTAGATTCTCGAGCATAGCTCTCGTGCAAGGTGCACAAACGTGCTGAATTAATATGCAATCTACTAGTTCAATTTTATTAAATATTAAATCTAACATTACATCCGCACCTAACACCTGACGTTTGGCTCTTATTGTCCCTTTCTACTTACAAGGGGAAGTTCAGGTGACTCACCCTGGGATTTCGATGCCAATTTTTTTGGTTATTCTGGAGGTGAAAAAAAGAGATACGTGTCCCGGCGTTTGATTGAATAGGCCTTAGTTTCGGAGTAATAAATTTGTGAAAATTGAAATTTATTTATCGTCAAGTGAAAAACTTCATCCGAAGAATCCAAAATTCTGTTGAAGTTTTACAACAAAACCGACAGCTGTCTTCGCGAGAAGACACAATAAAGATTCATTCTTTAATTTATTTGCAATTATCAGCGAGAGGAATTAATTTCGATGCAAACCAAGCGTGCTCGATCATATCTGTAAAAGCTCCCGCTGATAATTGCGAATGAATTAAAGAATGAATCTTTATTGCGTCTTCTCGCGAAGACAGCTGTCGGTTTTGTTGTAAAACTTCAACAGAATTTTGGATTCTTCGGATGAAGTTTTTCACTTGACGATAAATCAATTTCAATTTTCACAAATTTATTACTCCGAAACTAAGGCCTATTCAATCAAACGCCGGGACACGTATCTCTTTTTTTCACCTCCAGAATAACCAAAAAAATTGGCATCGAAATCCCAGGGTGAGTCACCTGAGCTTCCCCTTGTTAGTAACGTAAATGCTTATCAACAGAGCCCTAATAATATCTTTATGCTGAATTAACATAGAGCCGAAAGCCAATATTTCAGGCATAAAATATAATTTTTAGCCCCGATAACGCAAGTGATTCTCTTTCGTTTATTTATTTAATACAAAGTAATACACTGTGTGTATTGTTTCGGCAAAATTTTCTTTTAACGTTAAAATAACTTGATTATAATATAATTTAGAAATTATGTATATTCTATTTCGTTTATTGACAAAAATGATGAAATGAAAGAAAAATTTAGCACCTTCGTACGCATACCTTAGAGAGCTCTTTAACATTCGCACCGAACGCGCGTCGATATTCAGAAGCAGAACATTGGACTGCCGATTCCGGATAAGACTGCAGATTGTCCTTCGGTTGATCCTGCACGCGTTTCCTTCGATAGCGAGCCAGCTCGTCGACCGTCAGTTCTTCGAGGAATGGCCATCTCTCCCTGGTCTTGCCTTTACGTCCTTTCCCCTTGCCTTTACCGTGCGCTACCTCGGAATCCGAGGACGACTTGCCGACGCCGCGGGTGGAGGACCTTTGCCTAATCGTAGCCGATCGGAAAATGACGTTTAACAGTAATTTTATTTGCCGATTTCAAGATAATATTCTATCTTATTGTTCGGCTTTTGAAAGAAAGCATTCTGTCGAGCTATTCTCTTTAATGTTCATATGAAACTTGGCTGATTTTTGGACCATCGACTTGACAAATATTTCGAGCGGAGAGGACGGTTCGCGACATGATGCGGATGGACAACCCAAGCTTACTGAAGATGACGAAGAACCGAGGTCGCGAATTAAGGGTATAGGAGGGCGAGCCGGCTAAAGCGGCGAGGAGGGCAGGGAGGACGGGGCGGACGAGGAACAGGAAGAGAGTGGTACGATGGTACCGTACATGCCGTTACAACGGCTCTCCCAGACGCGACGAATCGATCTGCAGAATGCGCGGAGCTTGAAAAATAAATCTCATCCTGGCCTAATGGCTCGCGCGCACGTCAATCCTTGCGAAATTATGTCGAAGATAAACATGATATGCGCAGAATGTCACCGAAATGTCGCAGTTTCGATCGAAATCGTGAGAAAAAACTCTAAAAACTAGACAAAACCTGGTTAAATAGTAGAGATAGATTTTGATTGTCAAAATAGCGTTCTGAAAGAAGAGCGAGAAATAATTAACGTGTTTTACAATTTATAAATAAGCTATTATCATTTTATACAATTAATGAAGGAACTGTTTATCAATCAATCTTAATCATAAATTATGCAAAGTGTATTTTATCTGAATCTTTTATCTGGTGAATCGAATCACGTAAACATATTTTCATCAGTTAAAAATTATAAAATTCGTGTCATTGATAGAAATCCGACACGTGAAGGACATCTTCACCTGCCACCATTTTAACGATCTCTGTTTGCTTTACGTTCTGAAATAAAGGCACCTAATATCGCCTACCAAAATTCAAATCGTTCTCATAAATTCCTAGCGGAAAAAATTTCTATATACAGGGTGTCCTAAAACCACCGGAGGTCCTCTTAATGACAGATTTCTTAGAACATTTCCAGACGAAAATCCTAATACAAAAGTGTCGAGGCTATAATAGTTTTTAAATTAGAAGCGATTATTTTCCACAAATGATAGGGCTGAAATTTCGCGCGCTCAGGAACGGCGAAATGACAAGTGATATAAAAAGAACGATATTCATAGGAGCACTTATATCACTTGTCATTTCGCCGTTCCTGAGCGCGCGAAAT